TACCCATTCCAAATTAGTTCAGTTAAAAAAAAAAGGGAGTATATTCCTATTTTAACTGTGTATATTATCAAGAAGCCAGTTATGAATTTACTGTTTCTCTTGTCAGATTACTGTTCATACTAAGTTCTTGCTAAGCATTATAATAGTGATGAAATCTTACAAATCTTACATCTTACAAAATGCTATCTTGTTACTTTTCTCTCACAGATTATTTCATTTAAGAGTTATTCTATATAGGGTAACTTTTCTAGCACTAATAAGAAGTCCTTGTCCTAAGAAAGAAAAAGAATAATTGAAATGGGTGAAAGTGATTAAAAGGCAGTGACACTGAAGGAACAGACTGGAATTTACTTTTGGTCTCTTAAGCCTGTTTTTTATAATGTTCTGTTTTAAAAACAACCAACTAAACAAGCAAAACCCCCAGACAAACAGACAAGCCCCGACCCTTACTTTCATCTGGTAGATGAGACCTTATCCTCATCAGTGTTCTCTACACATTAATCTTTTTACTGCTTTGGTCGAAGACTGGTTTCGCTTAAACCTCTATGTCCCATCTGGCCCTTGTCCGGCCTGCGTTTTTACATGCAGCTCTACAGCTTTCCTGGTCATCTTTATCCATCTGCTCTGTGAGCTCTCCCTTGTCATCAGGTACTTGGCATGGTCTTCACACAATCTATTACTTAACAATTTGAGGAATAAATATTCATGTGACAGGAACTGTTTTGTGTTGAACTGTCTCGAATTTGCTGTCTATTTCTATCCATGTGCCTGTGTTTTCCCAGCTTAACTTGTCAAATATCTCCTTTCATTCAAGTTCTTTGGTGTTTGTATTCCTAGGAGTAGCAACTGCAGGTACCCTTCTATATAATGTAAGCAGCCACTGCAATTCTCTGCAGACTCTTGTAAAGTAGACTGTGTGGGAATGGTATGAATTATCTTTAAATTTGTGTTTGAGGTTTTTTTGGTGAATAAAAAAACCCCTCCTAATAAAAACAGTCAGTTGGAAATATCTGCAATAGAAGAGACCCGCTTTTTCTTTTTTTCACCTTCTTCATCTGAGAAGAGAATAGTGCAAAATCTTCCTGGTTATTTTGTCGTGGTATTGGTAGGCATTGCCTATTTGAGGATGACCATGGTAATGGAAATCATGTGCAATCATATTTTCTACCGCAGTTGTAAATTGGGAGTTCACTTTTTCCCCATACTACAAAGACAAGTAACTGTAATACAGATAAGGAATCTAAGTTTAGATAAAGCTAAGCAGCATTACAAAAATATCTCTGTGTTACATTTGGATGTGTTTATTATATGTTCCCACCATTTTAGAAACTGACACTGAAGGAAAAAATAGAGGTATATGAAACTTAGCTTTCCTTTTGCTGTTTCATTTAATGAGTTGATCTGTTTCATGGATTCCTAGGTCTATGGCATTCACTTGTATTTGTTGTACTGTGGTAGATACTATTCTGTATTTTTGACTTGCTGCTTCCAACTGTTTATGCTCAGAAAATATTATATATTTTATAACCAAACAGGTACAGCTTCTTCTTGTTGTGAGTAGTAGCACAGTAGTAGTGGAAAGGAAGGATGGCTTCTCTTGTCTTTCCCCTTCATATTTCTTTGCCTCCCCTCCTTGCTACTCTGCAACAACAAAAATTAGACATTCATTCCCATAAAGTCAGTTTGGAAAAGGAAAGCTTATTAAAATAAATATAGAGAGTGAAAATATAGTTGTTCTGGCTTGAGCTGCAGCTGTTACAAACTTACCATATGTAGTAGCTGGACCTTACAACTTTGAGTTTTACTTCTGGAAAGCATCACTGCCATACGTTAAATGTATTTTAATGCTTCACATTTCCTCAAAATGAAAGCATTATCATGAATGATTATTATGAATTACTTAATTGCTCAGAAGCTTATGGCTTCTTGACATTAAAAAATATTTTTGTTCTTTTTTTGATTTATTGAATTTGATTTATGACTGAATATTGCTGTCTAAATGAGTTTTGGAAGTTCAGTCAGGGAAAGTGACAGTTAACTTCAGAAACTGAGAT